TGTTAAACATTTAACAGCACACCACTGCCAGGGATCTTCTAGTTGCCAAGTGCAAAGGGAACTTTCCATACTTGGCTTCAGTTGCATCTGGCATGGCTAATTGCTCACTCCTTTCTTTTAGTCTCTCCACCTCTACCTTCTTAACAATTTTCCTCACACTTTTCCAGCTTCCTCTGACTCAGGTTCTTATTTGGCTCATCTTTCAGTGATGTTTTCCACGATCCTGTCGTCTTTCTGTATTCACTCAAGCCCTCAATTAAAATCACTGTATCTCTTAAACGTCCTCGTATCAAAATTTCTTCTAATACTTACCTTGGTAATCACCTAGACATCATAAATCTTGAAATCAATGTGAGAGATGCTTTTAACTTCTCAGCAAAACATCCTAATAGCATTATTACGTCTTAGACATCAGTAATGAAGTCATAAAGATGTAATCACCTTTTTTCTATTATAACTAGTTCTTCTATTAGCTGTCAAAAAAGTGTACAGGTTTTAAAATTATATGTACACCAACCAACTTCCCTGCTCAATGACTGTCTTGCTTGAAGAACTGATGTCAGAGGCTACAAATGAGGAAGATGGTGTCAAAGGGAGATTCTTTGCTCACGATGGTGAGGAACTGGGAGCTTTGTAAAGCTCTCTGATATAGAGGGAACTGATGTTTAAAAACTGTTGCTTTTGTAAAGTGGAACTGATTGAGGTAGGAGTGGAAACAGCCTGTCAATTGGTGAAGACAATAACTAGGGATGATAGAAGAATCGATGCCTTTAAGTTGTAGTGGTGAAGAGTATTGAACATACCATGGACTGCTAGGAGAACAAACAGGTTTATCCTAGAGAGAGTGAAACAATGTTGCTTCTTGGAGGCAAGGATTTTGAAGCTTTGTCTGACATACTTTGAGCATGTTACAAGGAGAGGGACATAATGCTTGGAAGGGTGGAGAGGCAGCACAAGATAGGAAAACCCTGGGTAAGATAGATTAACTCAGTGATGGGGGTAATGTGGGTAGGTGGGCTCAGGACAGAGCAAGGTTTAGAGCTGTTGTACATATGGTCGCTGAGTCGCAAGTGACTAGAAACCACATAACAACACACGTGCGATTATGGAACAGATCTTTATGTGGAAAAGTACTAAATGACAGTAGATAGTAATTTTGCTCTTTATACTAAAAATGTGTGAGCTCTTAAAAACTGATTTCAAATGAACATGATGGCAAGATATGAGAGCCTAGTGCTCAAAGTATTGAGGATTCAGAAAGTGATGTTATTACACAGGGGAGATTGAGCCTCACCAATGGACCAGCTGCCAGTGAACTCTGACTTTGGCATCCCTCTGTGTGCTAGAGTGGAACTGTGCTCTGTAAGGGTTTCAATGGCTCATTTTTCACAAATTAATTGCCAAGTCTTTCTCCTGAGGCAACTTCTAGGTAGAATCTAGTTTAACAGTAGAAAGTTTACTTGTTGGCATCACCCAGAGATGCTACAGGTGAACATGCCATTGACTCAATTTAGCCAATTCCTTATCAGTCCTTCTATCAGCTAACATCTCAAGCTGCATTACTTCATCAAGCGGCATCCTTCCTCACAATCTGTCACTTTGTGCTAAGCACTTTTTTCTTTCAAGTGTCAAGAAGGAACAAAACATGGGTTGTTAAGTCAGGCAAACATAGGTTTCAGAATCTTCTCCAAGTCACTACAAAAAGGTATCATGTGTCCAGCTGGGGGGAGAGTGAAGGAAAGCCTATGTGAAGAATTCTGCCAAATGCCTGGTAGTCAGTAAGTGCCATTTGCTTCCTGTGGATGAGTACAGAATATTTCTAGAAAGCTTTTTACTCGTTGATTTAGCATTTTAAGACCAGGTCTATCCAAAGTACTAAATTATCAGAGATATTTCAAGTTCTCTTACTGTATTTTTAAAAAGCCTTATTATATCAGTCCTATGCATATAAGTAGGTATCATCAAATGTAAACAAAGGAAGGAAATGGAACTATAGCAAATGAATAACATTTGAAACAAGCCATGAGTGAGTGAGTGCTTGGCTACACAAAAGAATTAACACTGAAACATTTAAAGAGAGACTTAATGTAGGAAGAGGAAGCTATTTTAATCAAACAAAACCAAAATTATATTCATTATTGCTAAAAATAAAATTTGACTTTTCCAACTTTTAACATCTGTATTTAATAATATCCTCTAAGCAAAATACAGATGCTGAAACAGCAAATTACAATATATCTTGTACAGCACAAAGTATGTTCACTGTTTACACTTAACTTGGTCATTATGCACTCAATGCATACTTAAACATCACTCATAATAAAATTTTCACAATTAACCAAAAAAGTGACAAGGCTGTCTTAAAAGGACTCTGCTATAAATTGTATAGAATATACAGAATTACAAAGTCAAGTATTTTTTTTATCAAAATATATACCCCTCCCTGAAACTAACACAACCTATCAACATTTGAAATGAATACAGTTATAGAAAATATTTGAAAAATTATTTTTTCCATGTATAAATATTCTTCCATATTTACTTTGGTCTAGAATTATCAACATACAAGTCCACTTAAAAATAAGCACATATAAGGGCTGGGAGTCAGACATCACTACATGTAATCATTTTATATTTTGAGTTTCCTCAAATAAAAATGGCTAAGATACATAGTAATTCTCCTTGATTCATAGTCTTAATTCAAATAGAAACAAATTAGTGGATCATAGGATTGCTTATTCAGTATTTCAATTATCAATTAAAAATTATTTTTATAATAAGCCCTTTGTGACTCTTTAATGAAACTCAAATGAAAAGTGCAGGTATACATAGATAAAACCTAAATCCCCCCCATTGCTGTTGATTCTGATTCACAGCCATCATACTAGACAGAGTCGAACTGTCCCTCCACAATTTCCAAATCTGCAAACCTTTATAGAAGCAGACTTTCGCCTCCCACGGAGCAAGCAGCTGGCGGGTCAGCAGCCAAGTGCTTAGTTACTATGCCATCACAGCTCCTTACTACATACATAAACTTCTATTTGCTTGCATTTCCCCCATTTTCCCTTACTCTGTAATACTGCATGTATGTGAAGCAGGTGAATTAAAGACAGGTGCATATACAGAACTGGGGTACTTAACAAAGTACTACAGTAGAAAAGAGTCAACTTTGATCACGTCCTCTTCTAAGTGCTGATGTGTCTTCTTGCTCACTTAAATCCACACCAATGTGTCTTCACAGAGACATTACAACCAGGAGAGAGAAGCCAGAATCTTTTGAGTTACTATTTTGTCAAGACAGCTTTGCAACCTTGGAACACCTTGGACTTCCACTGATCAAATCCGATGTGTATGAACAGCTGCAGGTCATTCTTAAACTAGGGTTGCAGGATATGCACATACTGGTGATCAAAGGGTAAGAATGTTTTCTCTCTTCCTATTCTGGCAGTTGGAAAGGAGTATGAGTTCCAGTTTCCCAGGAACCTAGTCCACTTGATGAAATAACCTGCAAATCAATTAGTTTTGAGAGCAACACTGATGGCACAGGCCAGGCCAACAGAATTCTGACAACAACAACAACAACAACAAACTTAAGTGGGTTTTTAGCAAGAGAGCTGGATGTCTGCAGTATATGAAGACAAGGCATCTGGCTTTATAGATACACTTCTGAGTCATGCAGGTGAGGGCCAGAACCTTGTCACTCCATATCCTACCTTTCCATGCTCCCAAAGTTATTGCTTGAGGCAAGGACAAGTGCATGTCCTCCTGGCCACTCAAGTTATTAAGGGTGGGAATTTTCTGTTGTCCTTTTGTTTTACATTAATAAGTACTTACAAACTACATGATCTTCAAGAAGGACAATTGTAGGGATTTGACTTTCTGCCACTTCCAAGCGCCTGGGAGTTCACCTTCCTATCCTATATACTAAATATCCCAGATCTTTCTACAGTGGGATAGGAGATGTCAGGTTTTATTCGAACCCTTCAAATGCTGTCTGGTACAGATCCCCCTGTGATAGCTGGAAGACTGCAGAGAGGTTCGTTAGAATGACCCTTCTTCATTCTCTGGGGTGAGGCCACAACAAAGCAATAGGTGACACAGGTAATCACAGATAAGTTATGGGAAGACATCCCCCAGTAGTTAAGGCATGACATATGTTTTCTGTGATTTGAGAAGACAAGTTTCAAATAACAGCTCAGCCATAACATCAAGAGAACAGCATTCCATCTAAAGCATACTCATGCTCTTAATTCATATTCAAAATGCTTTCTACTGTGGGTTTGTTTTTTTTTTAATCAGTCCTCATTATTTGCAGATCATTATTTGCTCATCGTTACAAATCACTACAGGGTGTATGGACAGTTAACAGTGGGCTGTACATGTATGTATTTTACAAGGTTCACGTTGCAGAGAAGTTTTACAGAAGAGTAAGAATGTCCTACTGTAGGTTACTCATGTCACACATATTTTCAGCTACATTACTAAGTATTTCATAGGAATCTTATGAACTGAAACACATTTTAGCAATGAAGAATCTGGACGAGAACGAAGGCTTTCATATTTATCTTTCAGCATATTTGTAAGATGCCATATTCCTGGTGCCTGACCCTGATTTTCACCAGAGATTAAAGCAGGTTCAGCAGCAAGTTCCGGCTGGCACGCACTTAGGAGTTTTATTGTTAGGCTAAAAGCAAAGTCTTTTATTCACTGGTAGGAAATACCACAGCTAAGAACTTCATTAAGTCACAAGATACTTAAGATATTAGTGGAAGCTTCAGCTACTGTGTCTATATGTGTGTGCCTTTTGCATAAAGCAAATGCTAAAATCCAAAGCAGATATGAAAGTATCCTTTTGCTGGAATTCTTACAAAGGAGATTTCTTTTTTCTTACATTTTATTCCTTCATGACTGTTAAATGAACAAAATAAAACAAAAAAGGGGAACCCCACCCCGCCCAATTTTTTGAAGTTTTTTTTTTCTTTTTCTCTTTCTATGAACACTCAAAGGGTGCTTTCAACATTATCCTTCTGGTCACTGTCTTCTGGACTAACAAACTGTGGGTTCTCCGAGGGATCCGAGTTTTCAGGGCACCCGTCACCTTCCATCATCTCCTGCTGGCTTGGGCTCCTGAACAAATGTTTCTTTTGATGCATTCCCAGGGCGGCAGCAGTTTTGCAGACCTTGGGGCACTGGAGGCAGGCGTGGCCCTTCCCGCTGTGTGCCCGCAGGTGCCTCTGCTCATGATTTCTTTTTGTGGAAAGGTACAAGAAGCTCTGGAAGCAAAACTGGCAGTGGTAGCGCTTCTCGCCGGTGTGGATCCGCTCGTGGATCTTGAGGGTTTCGCTGAGCGTGAAGGCTTTGTTGCAATACTGGCAGATGAACTCCTTGAGGCCCAGGTGGATCCGCTCGTGCTTCTGCAGGTTCCCATGCACGGAGAAGCAGCGCCCACAGGTCTTGCACTGGTAAGGCTTCTCGCCCGTGTGGCAGCGCATGTGCATGCGGAGAGTGGACGGCGTCTGGAACTGCTTGGCGCACAGCTCGCAGGTGTGAGGCCTGGCGGCGACGTGCCGGTGGGGCCTGCCTTGGTTTCCAGCCTCGGCCGCTTTATCGCCATCACAGAGTTCACACTGCAGCTTGGGCATCTCTTTATTGTCGTCCTCCTCAAACGCCTTCTCTGGGGAGGTCTTCCCCACAGCACAGTCCAGTTCTGCTGGGTATTTGCATTTGTTGTTTGGACTCTCATTCCCATGCTCTTTCCTCCAGCTGGCTTTCTTCATTTTTCTCAACTGCCGGGATTTCTTTTTGGGTTTGTAATTGTAGTAAGGGCGCCAGGGCTTGTCGCTGGAGTCCTGGTCACTGGCCTCGTCGAACATTTCGCTCATCTCCACACACTCGGACTGGCAGTGACTGAGGGGGCTGTCCCCAGTCGTTTCTGGGTCACTGTCCCGTGACAAGCTCTTCTCCTGCGCTTGAAATTTGGGTTTTCTCCCCCTCTTATAAAACAGCTTGGAACCTAGGATATGTCTTTTCACGATGGCCTCATTTCCAATTTTCACTGTGATTTGGCAAAGGGGCGCCACATTGCTATTTGTGGAGGTTCCAGGCAGAGCAGGTTTTGCGATGTACGTTTCAATTTTACTGGTTTCTTTGACGGTACTGGTGGTTTTGCTCAAGGAGGCTCTGGGCTCGGCAACACAGTTTGACCCCTCTGCTCGTTCTTCCTTGGCTGACAGTACTGCCTTCTTCTTCTCCCTACTGCTTTTGACTTTGCTTGTAACTCTGATCTCCTTCTCTGGCTCGGGCTTGCTGTTGTTGTCTTTGGGGGCCTGGCTGGCAGGTGGGTCTGCGGGGGCTTGGCTGCTGTTTGTGCTGCTCACGGCGCCAACAGCCTTGCTGTGCATGATCACCGAGGAAAACTGGCTGCTGTGCACAATGACCGAAGGGGCTGAGCCGCTGTAGCTGATCACCGAGGTGGAGTTCTCGCTGCCTGTGCTCCGCACAACAGGTACTGCTTCTGTCTGGGCTTCAGAACGCACCGCGTTTTCAGTGGGGGCAACTGACACTCCAGCTGAATACAAGTTACTGCCAAGGTCAACTCGCAAGGCCTCCTCTCCCCACTTGGTGCCCTCTGCATTCGGCGCACCAGTGGAAGTGGGTACATCCTGACAAGCGGGTGCTTCTGATGGGACGGCCGGGCTATGTGCCGAGGTGTTTACACCATCTTGCACGTTCAGTGCCGGCAATTCAGAGCTGTGCGCATTCTGAATGACATATGTATTGGCTGCCATAGATTCATTTGTTTGACTGTTGTCTCGGGCATTTTCATAAGAAGAATGCCGGTAGCTCTTATAAGGTGCCCTCTTGCATTTCATGGGCAGGAGCCTGTAAAGTTTGTATGGATAGACACTAGGCTTCAAGCCTCCATTTGTTGTTTTCTTATTGATGGCAAGCCTGTGATCTATGGCATGGAAGGACTTCTGATGGTTTTTGAGTATATAGTAGGTCATGAACGTTTCAAGGCAGAAAATGCACTGGTACCGCCTCTCCCCCGTGTGCCAAATTTCATGTCTTGTCCTGTATTCTGCCAATGCAAACACTTTGTTACAGTAATGACATGGGTACGTTCTTCTCCACGAGTGAACGTTGGCGTGTCTCCGGAGGCTGGATAACGTCACATAACTACGTTTGCAGACCACACAGCTATAGAGCATTTGTCCATTGACAAATTTAACCACATGGTCCACTTCTGGCAACGAGTTTCTGGGACTGGGAAATTCACCGATTCTATTTTCAGTTACTAGAGGCTCTGGTCCTGCGAAGGAGGTGCCATTCTGCCCAATGGTAGGATAGTGCTCTAGAAAGGACTGGTTTCCTCCGGGCCCAGGCACGTGGCTGGACCTCATGCAGATCTGCTCGTGGCGGTCCAACCTGTTGGGGGTGGTGAACTGTTTGTTGCAGTACTTGCACACCAGGGGCTCCTGTGTCGGCTTGTGCAGCTGCATATGGGCACTCAGTAGTGCACTGCTGTCAAAGGATTTGGAGCAACTGCTACAATTGTAAACCAGTGGTGGGACCTCTGCCAGCGGTGGCCCAGGAACATGTGAGGGATTATTGTCCTCTTCCCTGGCAAACTGGGTGTCTTCTTCAATGCTGGGAGATTCTGAATGAGGAAGACTTGTGGCTGGCTGTGGGCTTTTCTCTTGGTTAACCTCTAGGTTAGTTACCTCAGGGGGTGGCATATTTTCTGCAGCTGAATCAGAATCCTGGGGTGTGGAGAGCGTCTTTGGCTTTGGGCTCGGTTTCGACTTTGGGGCAAGAGCTTCGCTGTTTTCTTCCCCTGTTTTAGAAGGCAAGCTGCCATCATGTTCACTCGAGGGCTGACTTCTGTAAGTCTCAGCCACGGAAGAGACAGCATAGGAATGCTCCGCCAGTGTGCGGACAGGCTCTGCCTCATGACAGACATTGCTCCTGTCCAAGCAAAGGCCACCTGTTTTCATGGAGTCGGACACCTTTTTGAAACTTGCCCTCAAGTCCAGTGGAGAAAACATGCTGTTGCTATTTTCTGTTTCAATGATGGAAAACGCATTTGTGATCCGGGGACCACTGGTGATGGCCGGTTCCTCAGGCCTCTTTTCGTTTTTTTCTTCCTTAACCACTCCCTTCTCGGTGATGCAGAAAACATACGGGCCTGGAGAGTTTGAGAAGTTGCGATTGGTGAGATCTTCCAGGAATGAGATTCCCAGCTTCTTGCCGGCAGCTGCAAGATCGCTGACTGTTTCCTGTCTCTTGACCACGACTGTGGAGCTGTAAATATAATTAAGGATTTCAGTAAACACATCAGCCTTGAGATCATCCAGCTCCAGGACATGGCTGGAAATGCAGATGGTATGGCTCCAGAATATATTTTTGAAATAAAGGCTTGAAGCAGCCAGGACATTGCTGTGGGCTTTAAATTTGGTGTCTTCCACAATGATGGTGACATCGCATAAAATGCCCCGAATGCGCTGCTCATTTAGGATGGAGAGAACTGTGTCACTGTGAAAGTCGTCCTTGAGGTCCCTAGAAAGGGACATGACTGTCATCTGAAACAGAAGAGAGGGAAACAGTTAGAAGCCCTTCTACAAATGGTTTCTTTATAAACCATTTTTAAGAAACTGAGGCAAAAACGGAAACTTGTACACAAATGTTCATAGCAGCATTATTCACCATCGCAAGAATGTGGAAACAGCCCAGATGTCCAACCACAATCGAATGGATTGAGAAATTTATGGTACATTCACACACTGGAATACTATGAAGCATGTAGGACCAATGATTTTATAAATTACTACCTAACTTGGGAGGGACTAGAGAGCATTATGCTGAGTGAACTAACTCAGTCCCATAAAGATAAATATTGTATAAAATCATTATTGTAGAATGAGTATGAGGATTCAAGGGGGGCGAGGGTGGAGGCAAATGGGTCAGAATGGGTGGGGGAGTGTTAATCATAGGGTCCTACAATTTGATGGGTGGGTGGGGTGAAAGAAATGGGCAAGATTTGGTATGAAAAAACAATGTACTTGAACTTTGTAAACAAGCCGATATTAAAAAGAAGGAAAAAACCCACCAAATTCCTATGGAAATACAGGTTTCTCTTCGTTATTGCTCCCAGGACATGAAGTCAATATTGTTTGTTGTTGTATGCCCTCAAGTTGGAACTGACCCAAAAAGGACCCTGCAGCGGGTTTTCAAAGGCAGTAAATCGCACAGGAGGAGACTGCCTGTCCTTTTCCTGCAGAGCAGCTGGTGGATTTGGACCACAAGTCTTTGGGATCGCAGGTTCTTATCACTAGGCCACCTGAGCTCCCAGGAGTCAACATTATTATGGGCTAAATCTTTTTCTTGCTCCTATTTGTTTTTCATGCCAGTGTTAACAGTTGTTATAATTAAAAATATTTCCAGTACTGTTTCCCCTATTTCTGCCAAGTTGTAGCTACACAACTCATTTATGATGGTTGAGTTGTAACTAAATAAAAGCTGACCCTCCACTGGGTTTTCAAGCTGTCATTCACAGGTGGGTAAACTGCTCGTTTTCCTCCTGTGGAGTTGCTGGTAGATCTGAACCACCAGATGCATGACCTTTGTGTCAGCAGCCCCACACCTTGTAGACTACACCACCAGAGCTCTCTGTGGCCACAAATTGTTGTTGTGTACTGTAGAGTTGGAGTCAGACCATAGCTAACCCTCCACTGGGTTTTCAGAGGAAGTTAATCACACAGGAGGAGATTGCCCATCTTCTTCCTGTGACGCAGCTGGTGGATTTGAACTGTGTTGCAAGGAGGGACTGGTCCTTGAAGGGGGACATGATGTTTGGGAGAGTGGAGGGACGGTGCAGGAGAGGAAGACCCTCGATGAGATGGATCGATTCTGTGAGTGGAGTGGTGGGAATGAATGTGTTTGAGAAAGCGAGATTGGCACAGGATAGAACGGTGTTTAGGGCTCTTGTACATAGAGGTCGCTATGAGTCGTAAGCGACTTGATGGCACATAACAACAACCACCACCATCCGGATGCAGTACAGCTTCTTACCACTAGGCCACAAGAGCTATACATATACTTGTTCAAATTTGGTGGAAGAATTCCCGCTCAGCACTCCCACTTCTGATTCAGTTCTTATCATTACTGAAAGTGGCTGCACTAGATCTCTGGAGTAAGGGCACTGGCATGGTCTTACCCCAAGCCTCATCTTATTTTCAAAGATAATATTGATAATTTAACCCCAAAAGAATTCATTTTGTTGTTGTTATGTGCCATTGAGTTTCCTGTGACTCATAGAAACCCTATGTACAACAGCTCTGAAGCCTGCCCTGTCCTGAGCCAGTCTCACTGACTCTAACACATCCACCCCCACTGTCCCAGTTACTATATCAAACCATCTCATCCAAGGTCTTTCTCTCCTGTACTGTCCCTCCACCCTTTCAAATATGACATCCTTCTCCAAGGATCAGTCATTCCCTCCTAGCTATGTGCCCAAAGTATGTGAGATGCAGCTTCAAAATCCTACCCTCTAAGGAGAAACTTAGTTTCACTCTCTCCAACACAGACCTGTTTGTTTTCTTGGTGGTCTATGGTTTATTCAAGACTCTTCTCTAGCACCACAACTCAAAGGCATCAATTCTTCTTCTGCCATCCTTAGTCATTGTCCAGCTCTATGATGAATAGCAAGTAATTGTAGTCATCCAAATAGAGCAAGGAAACACTGCATTGTTCAAAATCAAGAAAGGAATGCATTCAGGGATGCATCTTGTCTCCGTATCTTTGCAGTCTTTATGTGGAATGGATCATTTGGGAGGTTGGACTTTATGGGAAGGAATGTCACATCAGTATTGGAGGAAGACTCATCAACAACCTTCCTTGCCAAAACACATATGTACATGCTTCAAACTGGTGGTTTCTTTGAGTTATTTATTGGTTCCCCAACTTCCTTTCCTTTGTTCAGTTTGCTAAAGGGACAAAGTCATGACAGTATCCACTGAAATGAAAACATTAATAATTTGAAAATCTAGAGGGAATGGACAATTTTTTAGAAATTCTTATCTTACCCAAATTGACATTAAGACAGAAGCAGAACACATGAAAAGACCCATCACAAAAGAAGAAAGTGAGCAGGTCATTCAAAAACTCTGTACAACAAAAATCCCTGACACAGATGGCTTCACTGGTGAATTCTACTATACATTAAGGGAAGAACTGTTACCAATTCTACTTAAATTATTTCAAAATATAGAAGAGGAAGGAACACTTCTCAATTCATTCTATGAAGCAAGCACAATCCTGATACTAAAACTAGGCAAAGATATCACCAATTAAGAAAACCATCGACAATATCTCTCATGAACATAGAAAAAAAATCCTTTCAAAAATCCTAGCCAGTAGATCAAAGAGCAAACAGCCTATCAAAAGAATAATTCATCATTATCAAGTAGGATTCGTAACAGGCAGGCAAGGATAGTTCAAAATAAGGGGAAAAAACCCAATGTAATTCATTACATCAATAAAGTAAAGGCCTAGATTCACATAATCATATCACTTGATGACAAAAAAGCTATTGACAAAAACTGATGTTTCCTGATTAAAAAACATTCAACAATGCAGGAATAGAAGAGAATTTCCTCAACAGAATGAATAGAATATATGCAGAACCAAGAGCTAACACTATTCTCAAACAAGAGAGATTTAAAGCAATTTCCCTTACAGACAGGGACCAGGCAAAGATGACTATTATCACCACTCCTATTTAATATTGTACTGGAAGTGCTACCTAGAGCAATAAGGCAAGAGAAGGAAATAAAAGATATCCACATTGGCAAAAGGGGATTAAGATTATTTCCATATGCAGATGATATGATACTGTACACTAGAAACACAAAAGACTAAACAAAAACCCATTAGACCTCGAGGGTCAGTTTATCAGAGTGGTAGGATACAAGATCACCATTCAAAAAATCAGCTGGATTTCTCTAAGCCAACAAAGAAAGCACTGAAAAGGAAATAAGAAAAACAATAACATTTACAATAGCCAGTCATAGGATAAAATACTTAGGAGTAAAACTGAGACACGAGAGGCTTATATAGGAAAATGACAAAATACTTAGGGCTCTTGTACATAGGGTCACTATGAGTGGCAAGCTACTCGATGGAATATAGCAACAACAAACAACAACTATTATAAGAAATCTAGTTAAAAGGAAAAACATTCCAATGTTGATTGACAGGGAAATGCAACACTGAGAAAATGGCAATCCTGTCAAAGCTCAACAAGATCCCAATACAAAAACCCAAGTCATTCTTCAAGGAGACAAAAAGGCTATTTTTAACTTCATTTGGAAAGAAAAGAGATTCTGAATTAACAAAGCTGTCTGAAAAACAAAAACAAAGTAGGAGGCATCACACTTCCAGACCACAAATCCTATTACACAGCTATAGTAATCGAAACAGCATGGTATTGGTATAACAATAGATGACACACAGGCTAACAGAACAGACAATCCAGGGATCAACTAATTTACAGTCAATGGAGGCCTACTGGTAAGGAGCTGCGCTGTAATTCCAAAAGCACATGGTTTATCAGCTTCTCCGCAGGAAAAGGATGGGCAATCTCCGCCTGTGCAGTTTACTGTCTCTGAAAACTCACTGGAGGGTCAGCTATGAGTCGGTTCCAACTTGATGGCACACTCGATGGCACACAACCATCACCACCACCTATGGTCAGAGCACAGCCAGAGCTGAATGTTCCTTGGAGGTAAATATGCCAAAGCATCATCTCACATCTCTGGGCATGTTGCTAGGACAAGTTATTTCTTAGAGAGGGACATCAAAGTGAAGGGTTAGTGAAAGAGAGGAAGACACTTAATGAGATGGATTAACACAAAAGACTGCAGCAACGGACTCAAGTATGTCAGAAGTGATGAGGATAGGGTTCAGATCTGTTGTGCATATTTATATGAGTCATACTTGACAGCACCTAAGAACAACCATCAATAACAACTATGGTCGATTGACATTCCACAAGAAAACAAAAGGCATTAAATGGAGAAACACTTAAACAGCTTCTTTAACAAATGATGCTGGAAAACCTAGACATCTACCTAGAGAAAACTGAAACAGGATCCACATACACAAGAACCAATCAAAGTGAATCAGTGAGATTAAAAACCATAAAAAGCATTAGTAAAACACACACACACACACACACAACTACACACACAAGAACAAATTTAGAAGTTCTAGATTGAAAGTGTCAACAGCTTCATGTTGCTTAGATCCACAATTAACAACCTTGGTACCAGCAGTCAGGAAATAAGGAGATGTATTGCACTGGGAAAATCTGCAGTTAGAGACCTCTGCAAATTATTGAGGAGTAATGATGTCAGTTGAGGACTAAAGTGCATCTTGAATCAGATCATAGTCTTTCTAATCACTTGCTATGCGTCTGAGGGCTGGACACTGAATAGAAATGACAGAAGAATTGATGCCTTTGAGCTGTGGTGTTAGAGAAGAGCACTGAATATCCCATGAATGGTCAAGAGAGCAAAAAGAT